CCGAATAACTTAAGTAATTTGTGGATTAGTGCGTACTGGAGACACGAACTGTTTCAAACGATTTGGTTTGATTTGGTGAACTGGTTTGACCGGTTCACTAAGAACATCCGGTTAAATAGAACGATTCGTTCCTGATCCGGACATCACTAGACGAGACAAAACCAATAAAACCCATTACAAACTAGGCATTTGTTGCATCCAGTGGGGACATAATTACGAATTATAATGACTTATACTGTCTTTTTACACATTGCGTTGCATTGCGCCGCGTAAACATAAAACCATGTCTGCATTTGTGATCGGAGAAATGACAAACAACAAGCCTACTCTACACTGCTCAAAACACGCATTTGAATCATCATTGGCAAATAATTTAAATATAAAAAACATACTTACAGGCTGTGAGTCAGAAACGCCAGACTGTCCTTGCAAAGTTGGAAGTTGGAAGTGCCCAACTTTATAGAAACAGCCTTTGTGCCACAGACGCATTAGGCTACTGGTTCAGGAAACAGTCCTCATCCATCCTCCATAAAATGCGCAGCACACATCTGAATATTTGGGTTGAACTGTTCTGGAACAGTGTTGTAAACACAACCTAACCACTGATTTCTAGCCGTGTCCTCTTTTGGAAGGCCGAAGTAGTTTCGCTTTCACAACGAAACACACAGCGACTCCACAACATGGCAACGGCGTCAACAGCTAGAATAAAAGTTACGCCTTCTTTTTTTTGCGTGAACATTTGGGCGGTGTTATGCAAATCTTCCCACATCGTGACATAGACATGTGGGGGCGTGTTAGAATGAGCCATTTTAGGTAGGTGTGGTTGGCTTAACTTTTATAAAGAATATCTCTTTGGATTTGAGACTTTAGTCTTTGCAACTTTACAGATCTTCTTTATGCACCAAGAGCTTGTAACACTTCAAAGAGAAAGGAAAAATTTAAATTGCATCATATGATCCCTTTAACAAAAATGTCAGCTATATTTAGAAATATTTATATATTTGCTTTGACATCAAATTAATTTGACTTGCCATGTAGGGGGGAAAAACAGCGTTTCACATGTTTATCACTTTTCTTGCGCTTATTTTAATGACCGGAAGCTTTATGGGCTCTTTATAAACAATTGAGTGGGCGTCAAATCTTACCCCACGTCTACCTTTTTTTTCTTTTCTTTGGACCATTTGCATTCAGAAATTTGTGACTGATTTACAGTTTTGACTTTTAATTAAAATGATGTCGTCTGTATCAGACGGTCTCTCTGCAATGCAAGTCACTAGAGGATATATGGGCGTTTCATCAACTAGGGGCACTTTTATCCTTGTGAAGTTGAATAAAAAAAACTTGTTCAAAAGTCACGTAACAGTCTCATAAGTTTAAATAATTTGTCTAGTTTTAAGGTCTGTAAGAGGACAAACTTGTAATGAACAACCTGCAATGAACTAATGTCATTTCCACCACATCTCAATATAC